TTAGAACCAAGTATAATAATGGGGTAAGAATGGGCCCTCAAATAAGGGCTGGAATTTTCAAAATGCATTAAAAATATATACCATGGAGTAGTTAACAAGACTACCCAAAAGACTTCCTTTAGGGGTGCCTGGGTCGCTCAGTCCTTAAGCGTCTGCCTTCAGCTCAGGTCATGGTCCCAGGGTCCTGGGATCAAGCCCCGCATCGCATGGCGATGCTTGGCGGGAGGCCCGCTTCTCCCTCTCCCACTCCCTCTGCTTGTGTTCCCTCTCTCACTGTCTCTCTGTCAAATAAATAAATAAAAATCTTAAAAAAAAAAAAAAGCTTCTTTTGGAGGAATACAGATATATATAAAATTCCTCAGATCTTTAACCCAACTGTTCAGAATAAAAATACGTGGAGAACATAGAGCTAAGGTTTCACATTACAATAATCCTACGTAATGGAAGAATAAGTTATGATTTAATTAAAATTAAAGTTGCCCAGAGATAAAATTCATTTAATATACTAGAGGCTCACTGTTAGTGCAGTTAAAGAAAGTTGTAGTATTTTCATCATGAAACATGAGCACAAGTTAATAATTAAACCTTTGTTGTTTATTTGACGATTTTATTGTTGAGCGAAGTCTCACATATATTAAAATGACTTTAGAATTACCAAAATAGCAACAGCAAACAAGAAAACATAGTAAGGTCCACCTAAATATTTCCTTAAAGTATAAAGTAATAATAACATTTTATCCTAAAGAGAGAGTTAAAATTCAAAACTGTGTTTCCCATGGAACTGTAACACAGAAACTGAAATTCAAAGTCAATTGATTTCAAAGTACAAAGAGAAAAACTCAGAGCCGAAACCCAGTAGACCACAATGACGGTTGATGACTAGATAGTAAAGGAGAGACCTACTAAAGGTTATAAAATCCAATTGTTATGTTCTCTGTAAAATTTGTATCTTTAAATAGCTAGATTTCACTTGTCATTCAAACTCCTCATAGGAGAGAGCTCTTCCTCCTCTTGTGGCTTTAACTCCTTCAAGTATTATAACTCACCTTTTTGACATAATTTCATAAATATACGCTACCATCTAAAACAACATCATGAAATGCCCCAAGCCGTCCACCATCTGGGGACTACATTCCCATCCCCCTTGCATTCAAATAAGGCTCTGTGACAAATTCTCACCAGTCCAATGTGGACAGATGTTTGTCACTTTAAGTCTGGGAGTTCTTAAGAAATGGCTGTAAGTAACACACAAGGCTCCAAAGCCCTAAAGAATGCTAGAGCCATAGATGTTAAGGAGTGTGGGTCCCTCAAATACCACATGGAGGAAAGCCACAAGCCTGCTAACCAGGAGCACCTGCACAGAACTGTTACATGTGAGCAAAATACAAACTTACATGTGTTAAGCCACTGAAATTCTGGTGTATTTATTACCCTAATTAGCATTATCCAAAGTAATACATGCACAAAGTCTTATGTATTTCAATTCCCCCCAAAGACATTTGTAAGGGCTATTTTGGAAAGATTGTTTAAAAGCTCTTTAAGTAACATTAAATTTTAAAATCTAAACAATTTTCCACCTTAATTTTGTTGTAACATAATTACTTTAAACAATGATAGCAATGAGCAGTTCCACTGTTAATAAATTTTACTGTCCAGATGTCTTAATATTTTATTTTAGTTCAGTGTATTTTCATAATTACAAAGAAATGTTTTCCTCAATTTTCCCAAATTAAAAAATTATGAAGTGCTTTAAAACATTGTAATTCATAATGTCTAATTTGTAATATCTAATATATACTTAAAGGCAAAATTCACTATTTTACTGTTCTTAAAGTATTAAAAATTATCCATAATTTCCGTGTATTTCTTTATTTTATTATCATCTATAATTCTTAAGGTAAGAATTCTTCCTTTAAATATAACCATATGGCAGATAACTCTGTTCATTGTAAATGCACACATGCCCATAAGACACATACTTTAACAAAACCATGACATTTTGCATTCTAATAAAGTTCTCCCTACTGGGCTTCACAAAAGTGTTAAAATTTTAGTGCTTTACAGGTTTTTTTTAAAAAGTTTAACACTGCTGATAAAAATAAGGCCTAACTGGGAAACCTGGCATTAGTAAACAGATAGTACAAACTTAACCCAATGAAATTCCTCCCACATTCTCTTCACCCTGCCTTCACGAAAAAAGAAAAAAATCCTTCTTTAACCTCTCCATTGCCTTTAAATTCTGTATTTTTTTCCCACCACAATACAATTAAAATTGAACAGCACATTTACTACTCCACACAGAATAAAAATGGAAAACTAGTGAAAGCTGACTGAGGATTTTTCCTTAAACCATTCAGGAAAATATTCCAAGAGGTTTTTGTTTACCAAATTAGTCAACATGAACTAAAAGAGTTACACAGCAATTTTTTGGGCACTATTCTTTGTGAATCTATAAAGGTAAACTATAGTTTCTTGATCCATTTTAATGCTTGATTGTACTGGAACATATATGTGCTACATAACAGTGTGAACAATTTTTTCCAGGGCTACATAGAATTCATAAAGAACAGGGAAACTGAGAGATGCCTATTCAAAAATATGGGGGTAAAAATGTATGACTAGACAGTCTATAAACTAATATACTAGGCCACTTTAATGACAGTCTCATTTCTAGGAAAGACACAAAATACAACTTAAAATTGTTTATATATACCTTATGCATTATCAAAGGACTCTGAAATGTTCTATTGTCTTGATTTTTAACCTACAGTTACATAATATTGCTCTCAATTATCAAATAGGTATTTGTACTTCTATACATGTTTTTCAGTGCCCACAATCAGGGCCGCAGGAGGAGGAATATTTAACTAAGCAACTACTATGTGCCAAACATGTTTTCTCATTCTACCTCCAGGACAATCTTACTATAAATGTATTATCTGCTTGTTACAAATGAGAAAATTGAGGTTTATAGACATTAGGTAACTTGCTAAGGTCAAACAGCTAAGAAAAATGGCACAGCCAGAGTTCTGAGGTCTGTAAAACAAGTCCTTTTTTCCACTAAACTACATACGTTGTTTTTCCAGCAGTGGTCATAGAAAACAGCTCTCCACTCCTATTCTTCCCTCCACTCTTGTTCCCAGTGAACAGCCTGGAACATTTCTTTGTGAGACCAGTTTAGAAACAGAGCTATCTGGCCTTTATACAGAGCATGGTCTGCAAAGATCCGATCTGTATCATGACTTTATCCATAGGGTTTTAGCTAGATGAGCTTACTAAATGCAAACGGAAAGAGGGTGGAGTAAAGTAGAGCAAATAATTACCCAAATACCATTTCTATTTGGGTCTACAATGCACTGCACACCTATTGGCAGCTTTATCTTTATAGTTCCGTTTTGCTTAGACTACCCTCAAAATAGCTTCCCAGGAGCACACACTGGGTAGACAATAAAGGCTACTCGATCTAGGTTCTGGAGATTCTGAGTGAAAACTTGTTTGTACGTGACTATCCTGATTGACAATTAAGATAAGTAGGGGCAATACGGTAGTAAAATGTAGTACTGTGCTTCCAACGTGTACAAACGGCTCAGCCAAACTCCTGAACACAATCCATCTAAACAGCTAAAGAGGCCGAGTTAAGGACGATGACAGCTACAGTAACTTCCTCTTCCTCACCGACCTCCTCAGCTCGGCGCGTACACGCCTTTCCCCCTAGGAGGCAGGATAAAACAATTTCAAATGCACAAAATCGATCCAATCCCACCGACACCACAGGACAGGGAAGCCAGGCTCCATTTCTTCCCCCGCCTCTCAAGAAAAATGTTTTCTTAAAAATTGCATACATATTATCCAAGAGAAAATATCTGCAACGAAAACTGAAAACGTGTACTTAGTCTCTCCACCCAGCCTTCAGAGAAAGATGAAGGGAAGGGATCTCAACCCCGCGTATTCCCGAGATTTTACTGCTTTGATTCACTTTCCCTCGGGTCCCACCGCCGGCTAGGGGAAGAGCTTGCAGTTCGAACGCCAAAATCTGCCTTCGCCTCTCCTCAGCAGACGCGGAGGCGGCCGAGGCGACTGCAATCGGCGCGTTCCGCCTCCGACCCTCACCTGCCCAGGCCTGAGGCAGCGCCCTGGGCCCCCGCGGGCCCGGCGTCCCGGGAGGCGTCCCGGGAGGCTGGCGGGAGGCTGGCGCGCTGGCGGGCGGGCGCCGAGGCGGTTAGGCCGCGCTGCAGGCCGGCGCGCTTCCTGCCGGGCCCCGGGAACAGCGGCGCGGCCCCGACCCGCGGCTCTCCCGGCCTGGCTGCTGTGCGCGTGCCGCACACACACTACCCTCCCCGGCCGGGCCGAAGCCGAGCAGCTCTCACCTGCGAGGCACCGGAGCCTCGGCCACAAAAAGGGAGGGACACGCCACTCGGGGGGTCCCAGACACACGAAATCCGCCCCCAGAGTCCCGGGCCCTGGGCGCGGAGCCCCCCCCAACACACACACACACACACCCCGGAACCTTCGCCGCCTCCGACAGCGACGCGGGTCAACCCCACACCCGACACACACCCACTCGCTCTGGGTCCTCAGGCAGCCTCCCCGCCCGCCAGAGTCCCAACTCGCACACCCACACTCGCATTTGTCCCTCTCCCACCTCATTTCCCCGGGGACACGCTCCTCTTCCCACCATTCTCGATCTACTAGGAGGCACAAAAACACTTTACCTCATTCTCTTCCTCTGGCCCAGGAGGGGCAACAGCAGCCATTTCCCCGCGGCACGGGAAACACACACACACACACACACAAACACGCGCGCGCGCGCACCAGGCCCCCACAGATGCTTCCCCTCCGAAGCCGCAGACGCAAACACAAACACCCACGGGCGGGCCTCGCTCCCGCCCGCCCCGAAGGGAAGCCGCCGCGACAGGCAGGGCCCGCACCCCGCTCGCGGGCGGACGGGCGCACAAGGCGCCTGGGCCTGGGGTCGCGGAGGGCCTGCGCCCCCTCCTCACCTGCATTCAGCGCGCCGGGGTCCGGGCGGCGACGGCGGCGGCGGCGGCGGGGCGGCTGCTGCTGGTGCTGGTGCTGCGGCGGCGGGGGAGGCGGCGGCGGCGGTGGCGGCGGGGCTGAGGGCAGCAAAGACATGCAGGCAGCCCGCCGGGGGGAGAGGCACCGGCCGGAGGGGACGCGGGGCGGGCGGGCCGGGCCGGGCCGCCTGAGGAACAGCAGAGGCGGCGGCGAAGAGGACGGCTGACGGGAGCGAGGAGACGGACTGGGGGCGGGGAGGGGGACGAGGGCCGCGCCGCCGGGTTTCAGGGACGGTGACCCTGGGCGCTCAGGAGAGGCCCCGCGGCCGCCGACGCGAAAGCCCCCTGCCGGAGGAAGCGGCGCCCCCGCAGCCTCCGAAGCCTCGGCTATTACTCCGAGAGCGGCGCAGAACCTGGCCTTGGCCTTGGCCTCCTGGCGCTGGGGCTGCCGCCGCTGCGGGGGTTGCTGCTGCGCCTGCTGCTGCTGCCGGGCCCAAGGCTGCCGCACAGAGACGCCAGCTTTCGGTGCCTTCGCTCTCGCTCACACACGTTCACACCCCCGAAGGCCGGGGGAGAGGCGTCCGCGCGATATCGGTACTAAGATTAATAACAAGGTGCAGAGAGTGCGAGAAGGAGGAGGGTTGATTGACGTGGAGGGGCTGGCGAGAGTCAGTCACTCCCCTGCGCGGGGGGGTGGGGGTGGGGGTGGGGGAAGGAGGCGGAGCTCCAGCGCCGCGACTCGGCCCCGCCCCCTGGTCACCGCGTTTGGTCTTGGCGCGCGTGCGCGCGTGGCTGCCCGGAGTCTTACCCATTTTCTCCTTTACCCTTACCGCTTTTTTACTCTCTTTTCTTGGCTTGAGTGACGAGCGGAACTGGGAAGACAGGTAGGGTATCAAACATCCACGTCCACAAAGCCATGGTGGGGAAGAGACTGGCGAACCCTCCTCACCCTGTGTTCGTGCCTGGACTCGGCGCTGTTTACTGCATGCTCGCCAGAGGCTGCCTGACTGCGAAGCTGAGCGCTGGTCTGGGTAGCTAATGAGACGCCAGGTGAGGTGAAGTGACGGAAGGAAAGGTTTCCTGACATCTTCGATGGGTTTTTTTGGTTTTTTTTTTTTTTACATAAAACATCTGTAAGTTGTGTCGCGAAAGGTAAATAAAAGAACCTGTGACGCTCTGCGTTAATCCCCTTCCTATTTATTTGCTAATTCTCCCTTCTCGCGATAGAATTACGTTCGTTTGGCAGTGCCCCCCCCCCATGAAAACATCAAAACGTAAACGAGAAAGATTAATGTTTACTTGGTGAATGTGGCCTTGACATTTTAAGTTTCTGGGGTTTAATTATGTTTTTGTGGATCAGCTTCTGCTTTTTACCACCGGTAGTCCAAAAATTATACCAACTCTAGAGGCAGAATACTGCTATTGCTTGAATTTCTCGATGCATGCTCCGGGCTTGCGTACTTAAAACAAGCAGCATAAGGGTGTATTAGCGGCGTAGAGTATTTTCCCCCCAACAGGGGTGTTGTTTAGCATACTAAGCATGTTGTGTTGGTTGGAATTAATTAGGCCTTTATTATTGAATGTCAAAGGCCTTCATTACCGGGGGGGCGGGGGGGGGGAGGTGTGGTACATACAAATCATCATTTAGCCAGAACTGGTCAGATATTAAGAGTCCACCATTGCAAAAGAACAATTGCACCACTTTCATTTTTGTCACCAGAAAGTGAGTGAGTGAGTGAAGAAGCCCCTTAAGATATAGAAGACTGTGGGCTACTTTGTTTTCCAACCGTGTTAAGTTTCTGTTTCCCTCTCTAGCACCCCCATTCCAGCCTCTGTAATAGTTGTCAAAATGGCCTTAATCCTGGAGGAAGCCTCACTCATTCCCAACTATCTTCACTCTAGGCTGACGTATATGAATAGTGATTTCTAACTTTGTAAGTAATAAAGAAACAAGGCACTTCAGGAGCCCAGAATAGTAAACCTGCCTGAATGGCCTTTTGCCACAGCATTTCTATTTGGCACACACTCTTCCCCCAAGGAGAAATACTACCAACTGCTGAAGAAAAGAGGAAAATAAACATCTGAAAAATGTAAATGTGATGATGGCATATCCTCAAAAGATTTAAGCTTCTTCAAATACCTATAGATATATAAATTCCTAGCTATTCGTTTATATATAATAAACAAAGATCTATGGAGGGGATATTATGTTCCAGACATTGTATTTAGCCTCAGAAACACAAAGATAAGCATATATAGTCCCTATTCTTATGTAGCTCCCAATGGTTGTAGGGGAAACAGACTCTAAACAGGAAATTCTCACAGAACAACCAGAAATGAAATTATGAAAGGTAACACAAAATTAATAGTCACAACAATACCCAGGAGGATAAGGCTGATGGCACTGGCATTTTTACCAGAACCATATGCTGTCTCTGCTATCACTCTCACAGGCTGACTAGCAAGTAGCGACTGGGGTGAGGAAAGAGGGGATAGACTTTGCGGATGTTAAGGAAGCATTAATAAATGGTGTGGTTTGTTAGTCTTGAAGCTCAGGTTTATATGGGGAATGTTCATTGTTGGTCTCTGAATTTTATATAGTAAATGATCACAATCCATTGAATAATTGTAATTGTGACATTCGGAGTTAAGAATAGTAGGTGGGATTTTTTTTAATTAAAAAAAAACAATCGAATGCAGATTAAGTTTAAATAACCTCTACTCTCAGGAATGTTCTCTCTATACCATAGCAAATGTATTGACTCACCAAAAACAAAAGGAAAGTAAAACTTTTCTATGTTAATAAAAATAACTATATCATCCCAAAAACAGATTGTTTTTCTCATTTGCTATGAGATTGAGATCAGAGAAATAATTTTCAAATAGTTGGCATTGTATAGATGCTGAGAAATTAAATCATCATTGATACTAAAAAACTCTTAAGAGTCCAATTAAAAATACATTGCAATAACAACAAAACATTAGCACTTAAGCCATTTTTAAAAAGCAGTTTTATAGTAGATCAAAGTTTGCAACAGAATGGTAACCTGTTTTGATGTCTCATTTCATGGGAATTTTTCATGTTTGTCAGACATTGCAATTTTTTATTAAGATTAAAAATAAGAACACATTAGAAAAGTCTCTCTTTTTAAAAAAGTGATTTATCCCACTGAAAGCTTCTGGCTTAAGTAAGGCCTTTTTGACCAAGTTGGTAATAGCAGCACTGTGTAGGTACAATTTGTTCTGAAACAACACTTATGTTTATTTGCATATTTGTTACAGAATTGTTCATTCCTTCCCAATTAAAAAAAAAGTACTTGAGGGACGCCTGGGTGGCTCAGTTGGTTGGGCATCTGCCTTCGGCTCAGGTCATGGTCCCAGCATCCTGGGATCGAGTCCCACATCCGCCTCCCTGCTCAGTGTGGAGCCTGCCTCTCCCTCTGCCTCCCACTCTCCCTGCTTGTGCTCTTTCTCTGACAAATAAATAAATAAAATCATTTAAAGAACAAAAGTACTTGATGTTCTAGTGACCACCTGTGTCTTTTCCAAATTAGCAATTAATATTTGATCTGAGTATATCCGATCTCTCCATGTTTTTTCTGTCAGTAGCATAGGTAACTGGACCTATAAGATCCCTGAGAACTATGTTCTTTTGTTTTCTGAAATTCTGTTGAACAGTTTGCTCAAAAGGCAAAGGTTTAAAGTTTTTTATTTAAGAACATCATTACTATTTGATAAAGAACTAAATTTGACTTTACTGATTTCAATACACTTAGTAGCTACATAATTTTTCAAGAAAAGTATCACATTTATTTAGTAAGATGTAATTGGTAAAATAAATTAAATGTAATTTTACCTGATACTCATTAGTACAACTTTTAAACAGGTATTAATCAAGATGATCTTGAATTTTTACTTCCCAGACCTCCTGACAGGGCATCTAAACTATATTCCAGTGACATATTCTACCCTTTACTGAACCACATTCCTCTCCATCTTCCCATCTTAACTTATCTTATTCCTCTTCTGTCTCCCTGTATCCTCATTACTTTATTTCTAATATTTTTTAAGCTACCATCTACCATGGCTATATCCATCCAAGAAAGGTATCTTTAAGGGCCTCTGCCCCTCTCCAGGTTCACCAACTCTCTCTGTCCATCAACCTCCCCTTTATTCCTTTCTCTAGAATGACTTTGGATGACACCAAGGACCATCCCACCACCTTGGCCAAAGATGAACATTTTCCACCATTATAGTGTGCCATATGATATGTTAGTCCTAGATAAAATGGCAAAGCAGGCAAAGTTCATCTTGGTGCCCTCCTGCCTTCTCTTTCTTTCTATACTTCCCATCTCAAGTTCCTTGATCCCTGAATATTCAGAATCTCCACCCCAGCCCCATCAACATCAGTACCACTCTTTCTAGTACTTACCTTATTCCAGAAATTTTCTAATTAAGCACTACCACCACCTAGGGTACAGAGGGGACCAGATAGCTGGGACTTCAACTAGAAAGTTTCTGTTTTACATATTGACCATCTATTTGTCTCCCTGGTAACTTTCCTTTTCCTACAGACAATATTCCTTTCTTTTGAAGAAACTATGTGACTTTAGTGGCAGCTGCAGCTCAGTCCCCCAACTTCTTGGCTGTAGAGTGGGCATGTGACTCAAGCCAAAGCAAGCAGAGCTCTTTCCCAGGAGATGTTCAGGTGGAAATAAGGAAAGAAGGGCTATCCCACTACAGTGGTAGTCTGAGGAAAGAAGGAAGTCTTGATAATGGCAAGTGGCCACATACTGCTTTTGTGGAATGAAGCCATTACACAGAGATGAAAGTAGAGCAAGTCCTAGTGGTGCACCAGTCTGAGGTGCCAGTCACCCATGGGGTCCAGCTGCACCTTTTCACATAGTACGGTTAAATTAGTCAATTCCCTTCTACTTCTAGACTAACTTGAGTCGGACCTCACAACCAAAACATCCTGACTAATACATTGTGTCTCTGCATGAAAGTTCTTTCAAAGAAGGCTAACTGCTGCTAAATAAGTTTGAAAGTCACTGAACTAAACTATAATATGACATTATTATTGGTTGAGGACGCCTGGGTGGCTCAGTTGGTTAAGCGACTGCCTTCGGCTCAGGTCATGATCCTGGAGTCCCGGGATCGAGTCCTGTGTCGGGCTCCCTGCTCGGCGGGGAGTCTGCTTCTCCCTCTGACCCTCTTCCCTCTCGTGCTCTCTATCTCTCATTCTCTCTCTCTCAAATAAATAAATAAAATCTTTAAAAAAAAGACATTATTA